ACCCTGTAAATGTTAAGGATGACTTATATGTATAAAATAAATCAGTGCTAGACCTCTGAGAGATAAAAGATATAGTAATAGATAGAGCAGCGAGATAATAGAGAGACTAACAGTTATAGTGTTGCATCACTAGTTATCGATTTCACATAGAAACTGATGAAGTCATCGATGTCTTTAATTTTCAGCAGTCTGAGATATTTTTTGAGCTTCTAGAATCATAGAATCAAAACTATGCCTGACTATATTTTATAGCATGAATTTGATGGATACTACCATTTCAGGACACGAAATTTAAAATTATTTCCTGAACAGGGATCTCATACTTATCAAGCCTTTGAAGTATATTTATATAACTTATATATTTTCCATAATGTCAAAGTGTTCGCCTTTGGTAATTCAACAATTTTCAAGGAGTTTTCTATGATTACAGGGTACAACAACAACAGCACAAAAAAAAAAAAAAGAGACGAAACTGAAACACAACAATAATGGCAACAAACAACCCCTTTGGAAATACGATGACGTTGCGATTGGGACGGGGTGAGCATATTCGCACTCGCACTCACATTCACATTCACCATTTTCCACTTTCCATTCCCTCTTGGCGGCATTTTAATTCGAATTGGTATTGCAGGCATTGTTATTGTTGTTTTTGTAGCCGTAGCACTCATGCTACAACTGCTCCGACTGACTGTTTGGTTTCCATTTGATGCTGATAAATTGTAAGTGCGTTGGGTGGAATTGGGATTGAAATCGGGGTTTGAGTTTGGGATCGGGATTGGGATGTGTGCGAATGTGTGTGTGTGAGTGCTGGAAGTGGTAATGGCTATGTGCGTCCCACAGGGGTGTTAAAGCAAAGTAAAAGGAAGTTGCATAGAACGCATAATTTGATAAAATATTGCACGCCGTTCCATTGTTCGAACGTGTAGAAGGGCGCATATGATGAGCATTAGATGCAATCAATAAAATCCCTGGACAGGAGTGCAGAGACAGAGAAGCACCATTAAACTACCTGATAGAAACATTAAAGAGATATGAGCATATTAAAGCAGATAAGATGAATGGCAACAGCTTGCAGATCCATTCTAAATGATGCTCGAGCAAATTTTGTATAGAATTGAAATGAAAACTTACCTTAATTAGAGCTAAACAACATGCATGTCAAATATGTTAAAAGATCTCTAATGAATGAAGCTTTTCGAAATTCGAGAGTTCCTCGCATTTTAGTTCCAGCTAATCAGAGAGGAAAAGTAACATGAGAGATGACATGCATGTCACATAGAATAGATAGATGGGTACATCTGAGATAGAGAGAGCCGCAGTGAATATAGCCTGAACAAGTTTTTCAATTAGCTTAAAGAAACGAGTTTCATTAGAGTACAAAATAAAAGCAACGTGAATGATAAAATGCATGTTAAAAAAAGATCTTATCTATGATAACATTTTAATGAAAAATTTTCACTCAACAAATAATATGAAATCAATTTTTTTTATTAGCTCATAAGTGTTTCATATAAGGAAACTTTTATTCTATGGAGAGCTAAAACCAATTTAAAAGAGATAACATGCATGTCAAAATGTCAAGATAAGTTAGCTGCAATATAAATTTCATCAACGAATGAAAAACATCTCTTTACCATAGCTCATAAATATGCATAGTTTCTGTTGTTAAGTCGTTACTCCATTAATCAATTAGATGATTTATAGAAAATTGTTGATAGACTTTCAATATGCGAAGGCCTTCACTAGTTTTGCCTTATGGAAAGTCAGCAAGCCAAGTTTTAATTTTGTTGCGAAAGTTTCGCAAAGCAACTTAAAACCGAAAACAATTGCAAAAGTTGTATTGCATAGCGAAGTTTGACTGTACTTTGCTTTGATAATCCAATTAAAGCTGTTCGCCCACGAATCTCATGCAGTGCTAAATGTGCAAAGTTTTGCGACGAAAACTTTCTGCTAATGGCCAGAACAGATATCGGGAGCAACAAAACGATGTCTCAGCCAGCAGCCAATGTGCTAGAAATATAAATACTTGGTCGTGTTTCTCTATTACTCTTCTTTATTTTCATTTTCATTTTTATTTATTTTTTGTTATTTAGCTGAAGAGTCGACGAATTTCCCAAGCGTACAATTGACACATTTTCTTCGGGCACAAATAAATAAATACGAGGCTAATCATTGGCAAACGTATTGGCCGTACCTTGAAAATGATACGCAAGGGAATCATTAGAGGCGATGCTCTTATGCCAGCCATAAATACGCGCACGAACCATCGATAATAAGGTTAGCAAGCCATAAAAGCCTCGCATTTGTAGACATCCATGCAGGAATGAGCCATCCACAATAAAATGCTAATGATTGATTCGCACGACCCCATGGAGTGCAGTTGGGCAGGGCCCAAGCGAAAGGCTCCACCACGTGTAGGTCGTTTGGGTTCTCTGACTTTAAATTGGGGTCCGCTGACTTTTGCATTTGTAATTATATGCGAAACAAAAATTGGGCATCTCTCTATGTATGCTATGTAAATGCTATGCAGGCCAACAATCGGACAGGCCGTAGGCAGCTAATGATGACTGGGCGCAAATGTACAAATCTTAATTATGCAAATCACGGCCGCGCATAAATTATGTAAATTATAATGAAATTCCTCATGGAAACGGCAATGCAGACCTCAGAGCCCAAAAATTACATTATATATATACAATATATATATTTCTCTGTATATTGATGAAATGTGAAAATCAAACATTTAATTCGAGGGTGGAAAATAAATTGCAATGTAAATGCAGTATAAAAACTGAATTAGTATGCGAACAATTCCAAATGTGAGAGCGAAAATGAAACAAACAGAAGGGGAGAGAGGCACCGAGAGAGTGGAAGAGAGAGAGATAAAGGGGAGGGATCGAGAGGTGGTAGAAAACCTCTGCAATTACTCTATATATAAAGAGGCCCCGAGCCGACAGCTCGCACAATGCACACACAAATGGAGGGCTGTCCACATTCGCATAGGGTGCAAAGAGTTTTTGGGAAATAGAAACGAAATAATGCCATACGGCTGACTGGCCCATAACATCTGACACAATAATTGACGATGCCCGAAAAACGTCAGGGCCCCAAGCGGAAATAAATCATTTTCAAAACTGTAAAAATTCACGCTTGCTTCAATCATAAAAATCAGCAATTTTTGTACTTTAAATAAAAGTAAGCTGTTCGTTGTAGTCCATCAACTCAACACTGAGTCAAAAATATATCTACACTGCAGGACACAGTGGAACAGGTATTTCCCTGGACAGACTTTCATAGTAAAACGGATAGCCCCACAATAACAACTGCCGGACATTATATTAAAAACATTATCTTCCAGACACCAAACTAATTTGGCATAAACATGTAAAAAATCCCACTGGAACAATTTATATAAGACATACAACAATGAACGGGCTTCTTTAACCGAACTCTGAGTTTTCGCTACATTCAGCTCATACAATTCCCTACTTGAGGCTACTTGAAGGCACGGTAGTCAGATTTTTGGTGTGATACGATTGATTGCAATTCACAGAATAGTTCTCAGAGTTTTTTACTTATGCACGGAAAACTGAGTCCATTCGAAATTACTTTACGCATTAAACAAATCATGGATAGAATTAAAACAAAGCTTGGTATGCTATTCTTTATCATATTTGTGTTTTAAAGACATTTATAGAGAGTTGCCACAGGTTCGCTCATATGTTTAATAATAAAGATAATTTCGTATCTCTATTATTTGTTATTTCTTGATTAACAAGCCAATTATAATACCTATGCCTAATTACTTTAATGCAAATGTTTAGCACTGTACCCAATGACAATTTTCGCTACTCCATTTTGCTTCTATATGATTATCAAATCCTTTTTGAATGGAGTTACCATAGATAGTACCATTACAATTGCGGAACAAAAAATAATAATAATAATAATTATATAATCCAAGGAGAGAGAAAATAAAAAAATATTGCAACAAAAATAAAGGAAACAAAAAAATAAATAAAAAAAACTTCTAATGCTTAGGGAGTATAAAATAATCTATAATAAAATATTCAAAGAATGACAGAAGCCACGTGCAGTCGCTTGTGTGACGAAATGAGGAATACCGCCGGACAGCCAAGCGAAGCAAGTACTTGGTTATAGAAAAAGGTATCGATTACTCGCTTAACGCTGTTCAACACTGGCTGTGAAATTAACAGAAAATGTTTGGCATGTGCCAAACGCTGGCATTGTTTTCACTTTGAACAATGCGATACCATAATTTGCAGCACAACACACGCACACACACACACACGTGCACATATACGCACACTCTCTCGCAGATACTGCCATCTGTGCCCATATATCAGAACTACATATATGCAGTTTAAGTTGCTTGGCATTCGAGTTGGTATTATGATGCATGAGCCTTCCAACCCCCAGAGAGAGAAGCGAATGGCTTTTGTCAACGAAAAGGAGTCGACCGACTCGGGGTCGGTGGACGGTCGGTGGCAAAGGGATCAGGCAGGCGACGGCGGCAAGCATGCGATGATTAGATTCAGTTTCAATGGAAATTGAAATCAGAGACAAAAAGCAGCAGGGTTGCAAAAACTCAGCCAAAATGAATGATTTGCGTTGTTGTTTTCTGCTGTTTTTGGTGTTTCTGTTGCTCGTATTCGTATTCGTAGTACCCGGAGCATTAGAAGTGCTACGGCCAGTGATTCATAGTCCTTGTGCGAGATTTCCATCCAGCATGTTGTTTTTTTTTTTTTTTTTTTTTTTTTGTGCTGGTATTGGTTTGAATGCTGCATTAAGTACAACCACTAAACGTCAACCACCAACGTCAACGGCACACATTTATGAATGTGTGTGAAGAGCGTGTATATACACAGATTTGTCTGTGTGTGTGCTTGTAATATTCTTTCGCTGCCGAGATTAACACCAGGCAACACAGACGCCGGCAAGGCAAAAATTATAATCGTTTCGCAGCGCTGACGTAGCAGAGCAGCAGCGGCTTCAGCCAGCATCAGCAGCAGCAGCAGCAGCAGCAGCAGTGAAAATCGGAAAATCGTTATACGTTGAATATACTACCACAAAATCGCGGTCGGCAAAGGCATCAACGCTGCGCTGTTTTTGGCCGGCACCCGCAACTCCTGGCGACTCACACTCGCGCATCGAATCCGAGTCCTGCCACAGCATCAGCATCAGCAGCAGCAGCAGCCGCATTTTAATTTTATGGTGCGTGCGTTTTATTATACATATACATACATATAATTGTATATATATATGTATATACGTTTCGATTTCTTTTGCTATCGGCGCTCTCACTCTGACGCTCGTTGCGTTGCGTCTGTGGTGCTTTGTGGTTAATTTAAATAAATAATCCTTAAAGTGCGGCGTGTTATTACGGTCGTTGCACGCGAGCGTACGTACGCGTAAATAAAAGTAATAATTTATTTTCAAAAATAATTAATAACCAAAAATACTAAAAAAAAAAAATTAAAAAAATTGTTTCATATCTTTTGAATGTTTAATAAAACTGTTTTTTTTTCTCTTGTGTTTTATGAATTAAATTCAGTTTGTAATTTGTACAGTAACGGGTGAAAATTTGGCACTGAAGCGCCATCTGTGGAACATTTTCGGAAAGCTTTAAATCGTCAATATTGTTAATATATAATATATTGTAATAAATATAAAAATATAAAAACTGTTATTAATCAAGTTCGTTAACAATAAATAAATTTTAGACATCGTGCAAATGACAAGACATTGAAAAATTACTTATAATAATAATAAATTAATAAAAATAAAGAACATTATTTATTTATAAATAAATCCTTATTACTAAAAGTTTAATTTGTTAGTTTAAAAAATAAAATGAAACATGAAAAAGCATATAAAAAAATCAATGAACAACATATACATATATTTTTATTTTAAATTTTAAACAGAATATATTTTGAAAATACTTAATTTTTTTTAAATTACTAGTTAATTTAAAATAAATAATAATAAATAAATTTTAAGCAGCATATATTTTAAAAATACTTAATTTTTTTTTAAATTACTAGTTAATTTAAAATAAATAATAAAAAATGATTATCATATAATAAAAAAAAACAGTTTAGATTCATATAATTTCTTCATTCTCATATAATCTAAAAAAAAACTGACACAAGACGCCCTCTATGCTGAGCTTGAAGCAAACACCTGCTTGCTCAATCGTCCGCTAGGTGGCGTCACACCGATAGCAATTTCAACCCTATTCACAGTATACAACTATCGAGTGGACAACCCTATTATTACACATCTTCTGCCTGTTCAGCCTTAACGTTGTTTTTCGCACTCCGTGCTATTTACAGGGTATACGCTATAAATGGATCCCTCGAACTTGTCTTTCGGCTTTCCGGGACTGCCTGGTCATGGACATCTGCCCATACCGCCCACCGCCAATATGTTGGGCGCCCATGGACATCCTGCACCAACGGCCAGTCCACCGCAGAGCGTGCCCGGACGTCGCACGCCCCTTGGCTCCGTCGGGCTGGGCGGCTTCTATGCCCAGGGTCTGGGCATGACGCAGCAGAGCCTGACGCCCACGGATGAGAACAAGCCCGGACCGAGTGCACAGGACAAACCGCTGAGTCCCACGGCAGCAGCGATTGCGGCTATTAGTGGTGGCACCACGACGGCAGCCCTGTCAAGCATTGGAGGCGGCATGAGTGGCGGACCTGTTGGAGGCGGACCCAACGGGGGCAAGCAAAAGAATCGTCAAGGCAAGACGGTACGACTGAATATCAATGCACGGGAACGAAGGCGAATGCACGATTTGAACGATGCATTAGATGAGCTGCGCAGGTAAAAACTATTAAAAAACAAAACAACTAATTTCAAAGCAAATTAAAATAATAATTGATATTGACAGTTGGTTGAGTCTTCAAGCAATCGAATATTAGTGTGGTTGTTTGTTCGGGGGAATAAGCTGAACTTGAGTATCCACGGATAACATATAGATTGTTTGCTGATCAATTAATCAATGAGTTCAACAATGATTGGTGATCAATGCGCCAACTAAGCCGCAGGAGCTTTAGAAATGAAAGTGAAAATTGTTTGATTGACGATCCTCTTCAAACGTGTCAGCATTGATGAGATACGCCAAAGAGATTTGCATATATGTATATACGTCCAATTGAAGAATCGAATATCTTTAAACCTTGCAATTCCTCATTGCCAAATAGTGTCTCCAATTCAATTCGATTCTGTTTTGCTTCGCCTATTTGCTGAATCAGTCGAATCAGTCATGGGTTTGTCTTGATTTATACACAAACTAATACAGACACACATAGATTAGTATATATAATCCTGCTCTGCAGCAATCTTAGTCAGTTGCTCGATAGAAGGGCTAAGTACTATTCCTCGCTCTCTTTGGCCTGTCCTTCGCTCGGCAAGATCTTAAGTCTAAATAACTGATCCTGAGAGGTTGCTCTGCCTTTTACATCATCTGCAGCCCGATGTCGGGACAAGCTAGGAGTAAATGGTATCAATGGTATGCAATGCTATAGTGCTCGTCGGATTTTTTGGTCCTACTACAAGGAAGATAAAACTGGCAAAAGCTTTATATTTACCGGCTGCTCGAGTAGTACTAATCTTTTCGCCACTCAAGAAGAGTGCGAAAGAGCGTGCGCTTAAACAGTTGGAAAAATATAAATATTGTGATATGAATAAATGAAACTGTGGCGTGGCATTTGTATCTTTCGTGTGTAGCCTCTTAAAAGGAGTGAACAATGTTGAGCTGCCTTAATGACTGACAAGCTGACAGTATTTAGGCAGCGCCTTTATCTTTGATCTCCCGTCACTGTTTAATTGAACAGCCTCTTAAAGAGTTGGAGCATTGATCAGATTTGCGCAGATATATATCTGTATGTCTGTATGTATCTGTGTCCATATGAAGCGTGGGATAGTTTTAAGCCTTGCAATTCCTCACTGCCAAATAGTGTCTCCAATTCAATTCGATTCTGTTTTGCTTTGCCTATGTGCAGAATCAGCTATGGGTTCGACTTGATTTATACACAAACTAGTACAGACAAACATAGATTAGTATATATAGTTAGTTGTTGCTCGATAGAAGGGCTAAGTACTATCAAAAATGAGGTTCGCAGCTGCTCTTTTCCTATTTCTCGCTCTCCTTTGCCTGTCCTTCGCTCGGCGAGATCGTAAGTCTGAATAACTTATCCTAAGGGATAACACTGACTTTTACGTTGTCTGCAGGCAGATGTCTCGACAGGCCAGGAATGAATGGTAACAATGTTTGGATATGCTTTGCTGCTCCTAGTCCTGCTTGGTCCTACTATCAGAATAATGAAACATGTCTAAGCATTTTTTATACTGGCTGCTCGTGCAGTCGTAATGTATTCTTCAGTAAAATAAGTTGCTTGATGGCGTGCAAGTGGCGGCTAGGCTAAATTTGATAATATGAATAAGTCAGCTTGTTTTATGAATCAAAGGCGTGGCATTTGCTTCTTTCGTGCGCAGCTTCTTGAAAAGAGTGAGCAGTGTTGAGCTCCCTTAATGACCGACAATCTGACATATATGTCATACATATGATTTTCTTAAAAAGTGTCAGCATTGATGAGATACGCCAAAGAGATTTACATATATACAATTCCTCATTGCCAAATAGTGTCTCAAATTCAATTCGATTCTGTTTTGATTCGCCTATTTGCTGAATCAGTCGAATCACTCATGGGCTCGACTTGGTTTATACACAAACTAATGTAGACACAAATAGATCAGTATACAGTCCTACTCTGCAGCAATCTGAGTTAGTTGTTTTAAGTTAGTCTTTCGACAGAAGCACAATTGACAAAAATGAGGTTTGCAGCTGCTCTTTGCCTATTCGTCGCTCTCCTCAGCCTGTCATACGCTTGGAAACATCGCAAGTCTGAATAACTATTCCTGAGAGATTACACTAACTTTTACGTCGTCTGCAGGTAAATGTTTTGACAAGCCAGGAATAAATGGTATCAATGGCTCGCATTGCAGAGCTGCTCCTAGCACTACCTGGTCCTACTACAAGAAACATAGAAAATGCAAAAGCTTTGTTTATAATGGCTGCTCGAACAGTGAAAATGTATTCTTCAGTAAAACACTGTGTAAGAGGGTGTGCAAGTGGCTGCGAGGCTAAATTTGATAATATGAATAAATCAGCTTGTTTTATGAATCAGAGGCGTGGCATTTGCTTCTTTCGTGCGGAGCTTCTTGAAAAGAGTGAGCAGTGTTGAGCTCCCTTAATGCCTGACAATCTGACATATATGTCATCTATGACCCTGTATCTTTGATCTTTGATCTTCCGTCACTGTTTGGCTAAAGATCCTTTTAAAAAGTGTCAGCATTGATGAGATACGCCAAAGAGATTTGCATATATGTATATACGTCCACTTGAAACCTTGCAATTCCTCATTGCCAAATAGTGTCTCCAATTCAATTCGATTCTGTTTTGCTTCGCCTATTTGCCGAATCAGTCGAATCAGTCATGGGTTTGTTTTGATTTATACACAAACTAATACATACACACATAGATTAGTATATATAATCCTGCTCTGTAGCAATCGGAGTTAGTTGCTCGATAGAAGGGCTAAGTACTATCAAAAATGAGGTTCGCAGATGGTCAGCTCCTGCTGGTATCCTACTACCGGGAGAAGAAAACATGCAAAAGCTTTGAATTTACTGGCTGCTCGAGCAGTTAAAATGTTCTTATGACCAAAGAAGAGTGCGAGTTGGCGTGCATTAGGCTGTGAGCGTAAATTTGATAATACTCTTGATACTGAAATTTTACGCGGAAGCCTAAGAGTTGATTATTGTTAATAAAAAATCAATAAGTTTCGTTGCTTGAAAATGAAATTTAAGTCAGATATTTGATTTCTTATCTCTTTGCAGTGTTATACCCTATGCTCACTCACCGTCAGTCCGGAAACTCTCGAAAATTGCGACCTTGCTGCTGGCCAAGAACTATATATTGATGCAGCAGAATGCACTGGAGGAGCTACGCAGGTAAGTAAACCCTATGCAAAACTTGACAAGCACATTCATTCTCACCTTATTTCTTAGGCTGTTGGCGTACATACAGAGCACTACGGGCGCTGCTCCCTTGGACTTGGGAGCCTTTCCGGCAGCGGCCAAATTGCAAGCGCTTCTCCAAGGACCACATAATGAGCCGCCCACAAGCAGTAGCAGCAGCTAAGGAGAGAGAGGGAAAGAGAGGCAGAGTGAGAGCGAGAATGAGAAGCAATACGTCTACATTTAAGTCAATTGATGAGCCAAATATTTGTGTACTAGTCAAGCAAGAGGTTGAGCATCTGTTAAGTGATATTTAGTTCTTTTATAAGCATTTCATTTATGCATTTATATATATGATGTCAGGTAGATTGTAAGTTGAAAATAATCAGTATGAGCAATAAAAAAATTATAGAAAAAACAAATAGTTTTGCTCCACGCATTATCTAATAGAACACATTTGGTATGACGAAAGTTGTGTATATGTATGTACATATACATATAAACTGTGTATACAATTTTAAAATAATTTCCTATGTTAAATTACTATTTAATATTTGTATGTACATTTGCCGGGCTTTTTTTTTTTTTTTTCATATTGAGGGCTTCTGTAATCGCGATGATTTCAGCTGAAAAAACTGTTGAGTAGAATGCTATTAAGCCTGATTTTATTATGTTGTGTTCGTTCGTTATGAGTAAGATGTGATTTTGTTTATTTGGGAGCCGTCTGTGAATATGGTTTTGTATTTTTTGCTGTCGTCAAGGATTTGCTTAAATAATTTGTTGTATATGGGAGGAGAAGTTGAGGTCTTTAGATACTTTCTGAGAGAGGAACCCGTTAATTGAGTGTTTAGGTGCCATGGTGGGGTATATATTATTGGGATAATGTTTGTGTGGGATATCAAAGACTTTGGCAGTGCTGATGATTCTGTCATTGTTAATTGGTATTTAACTGTATTATGTTTATAGTTTTTATACTCATTCACGAAAGTGAAATGAGTATATTGGTTTTGTGCAATGTCCGTCTTGCTGTCCGTCCATCTGTCCGTATGAACGCAATCGATTTCGGCGCTATTGAAGCTAGAGACTTGAAATTTGGAACACATACTCGTGCATATCTCCGATTTCAAAAGTGTCAAATTTAGATAGTTGAGTTACTGGTAACCTTCTTTATCGATTCCCTAAAAATAATTTTTATGTCTCTTTGGGGCCGTGGCACATCGAAAAATACCCTGTAATTTTCACATTTTTTGAGCGCAAGAATTCAAATTTTGCATTTAGGTTTCCGGTTGCTCGGTCTAAGAACTGGGGAGTCTACGGCCACTAGGGGCGTAGCAATCGGCATTTAAATCCGTCAGCAATTAACAAAAAAGAGTTTTCCGCAGGATTTGAACTCGCTCCCAAGCCAAATAGCATGTTTGTCAAAATAACTAAAATAAAGATCGCCGGCGCTTATGCTTATATGCTTATGTATAAATTATATATGTAATTTGATGATCCTAGCTGCAATGATGATAGCAATAGCTATAGATGATTTTCCAATTTTAATGGGATCATGCCCTGTTTTTTGTTGCGCACTAGACTTGAAAATTGCACTATATACTCTGAATGAGTATTCTGCAATTGGTATCGCCCGGCTGCAACGTTCTTACTTGTTTATTATGTTGATGATTGGGGAGTTGCGTGAGTTTATTAGTGATTCGCAGAGTTTAGCTGTGGCAATTTGATTTCGTATGTGTAGTGGGGGTATCTGGGCTTCGTGTAACATATTGTTGCCAGGAGTGAAACCGAAATTAATTGTATGCAAAATAGTGTTAAACAAGTAAAAAAGCTGTAGTCGTGACTGCTCGACTACGAGATCCCCTGAACGCTTCGAGCAGCTGATATTTTAATAATTCTTTGCGTCTTTCTGCTTACACAAGAAATACACACACACACACACTCACTAACACATATAGGCACGCACGCAGTGTCTGCTTACTATGGGAAGTTAATTGGCTGATAACTTTTCTTGTGGATGTACTTTCTTCATGAAACTTTCAGATCGTGATCATAACAACAATCCATACAAAAGTATGGATGACGGGGAGTAACTTATTCTGAGAGATAACAGTATCTCAGATATACATGTATGTATCTGTGTCCATATGAAGCGTGGGATAGTTTTAAACCTTCCTCACTACCAAATAGTGTCTCAAATTCAATTCGATTCTGTTTTGCTTCGCCTATGTGCTGAATCAGTCATGGGTTCGAGTTGATTTATACACAAACTAATACAGACAAGCATAGATTAGTATATATATAGTATATTCCTGCTCTGCAGCAATCGGAGTTAGTTGTTTTGAGTTAGTCTTTCGACCGAAACATTAAAAATTATCAAAAATGAGGTTCGCAGCTGCACTTTGCTGTTAAGTGATATTTAGTTCTTTTACAAGCATTTCATTTATGCATTTATATACATATATGATGTCAGTGTAGATTGATAGTCGAAAATAATCAGTATGAGCAATAAAAAAACAAGTAAGAAAGCTCTAGTCAAAACTGCTCGACTAGGAGATCCCCTAAACCATTCTTGCAACTGATATTTCAATAATTCGGACTACACACACACGCATGCATAAACACGCATTGGCTTTAGTGGTGGCTTATTATGGGAACTTAACTGTTTCATATCTTTTCTTCTCGATGAACGATCTTCATAAAACTTTTAGATTATAGTTATTACATAAATATGCATGTATTTGCCAAGCCTCTAGTATTTGAAATACGCCTTTTAAAAAGGTGTTGGTGAGGGGTTGAATATAGGAGTGGGGGATAAAGTTTAACCAAAAATGAAATTGTATAAAATGTATACAATAAAAACTTGGAAACTGTAGCTTTAAAGATGTAGGAGATATAATTTCATAACTAATTTCCGATAAGGTTTTTATTGATAAAAAAATAACGGGATGAGTTATCGATTTTTGGTGATAAACTCGATATCCGCGCTATATATACGGACATTTGAAAAAAAAAAATAGCTCTTATATCTTCTAAAATCGACGCGTTCAATCTACGGACAGACGGACGGACAGTCAGACGGACAGGGCCAAATCGACTCAGCTCGTCGCAATGATCAAGAATATACATATATACTTTGTGGGGTCTGCCACGCCTCTTTCTGCCTGTTACATAAATTTCAATAAAATTATAATACCCTGATTTAACATTTTCAATGGGTTCAGAGTATAAAAATGCTTAACTGGTCAGTTTTAAAATTTTTCTGTTGATCGTTATGCGAAACTTATTTTCCCCAAAAAAGGTGTTCGTTAACAGAGTATCCACTGTACATTTATTATTAATGTACAATTTCTAAGGAATTGCCTCTCGATGATGATCACAATATCAAAATTTCCCATATATAAAATGAAGTAACTAATATTATTATTAAGCAGCATATCGATTACCATTGACCACAACTTAGATGTACAAGCAGCTTGGTAGTAAAAACCCCCAGCATGACAATAAATGGATATTAATCATGGAGCACTTTATCAAGTGGGCTTTGAAATTCATAAATATGTAAATGGCAATTTATAATATAATAAACTATAAACATATAATCTTTATCAGAAAGACGACTAAATACTTGAAAGGCTGAATACCCAGTATTTACCAGTAATGCAAATAGATACTTTATATATTCTAGATTATATGCAATATAGTTTTTGAAAAACAATGACAGTGGCTGCAAAAAAAAGACGTTTTCCTAAATTTTGTTTATAGCTGATGGATTCGTAAATGAGCACACAAAAATTTATTCCATTCTATTTAAAGCAGTTATATGTAGTTCAATCATTGTATAAACTTCCCTCTTAGTGAATCGCCTTTTCGCATACGCCAAGTCTAAAATTGCAACATCATTGTTTTTTTTCATTTTCATTAAAAAATAATAAACATTTAATAACACTCAATATTTAGATGCAAGACAAACACACTTAAGAACGAATAGTTTAAATAGCAAGGTAATAATAATAAGTAATAATGAAGTAATAATGAACTTGCTATTATCAAGTCTATAAATGGAATAGAAACAATCCATCAAATCTAATAAGATGAGAATACTCTAGATGCGAAATAAATATAAATATATTATAGAAATGCTAAAGCATCGGACGGCAAGCTATTGGGATGCCTTCCCCTGCCAATCAATCCGGTATGCCCGAGGACAGGACCTTGTTCTGGCCCGTGCGAAAGATGCATTGATCCGGCGGCAGCTCACCGATCAGGAACTGACGCATTTGCTCTACAGCGTGGCGTGAGTGTCCGGTGCCGTGGAAGGCAATAGTCGCATCTCTTCCGGCATGGTCCATGATGACGTCATCGCCGCCAGGATGCTCGCGCAGAAAGTGCGTCACATCGTAGACCCGATCGTAGATAACAATCCAGCAATCGTCGAAGCTATCATGATGTGCCACCTCCTCCAGCGTTATCTCCGGCACAGCCAACTGCAAGTCGATCTTCGCCTTGGCCTTCTCTACTAGAATCGCATCGCTGGCATCCGATTTGTTGATGCCCAGCGAGCCAATGCGCAGCGTTTGCAGCAGATTTGTCAGTGCGAATGCCATTTGGTTCCGGTAATTGACTCTTACAAATGCAACTGGACGAGGTTGTCTCAACTTTCACTTTTTATTTTGTGTGCAAGACGTGTCTTTATATAGTTTAGCTTTTTATTATTATTATATTATGCTCTTATCGCAACGGCGTCACCCGTGTGCCAATTGGAGCGTCAACTAGTCGTGTTCTCTCTCTCTCTCTCTCTCACTCTCTCTCTTTTTGACTCTGTCAATCTGTCTGATCTTTGGCTTCTTTTGGGCTTGGCTGTTGGACCGGTCCGGTATTTGGTTGTGCCTCGTGTGGCTACTGGCAATCGAGTGTCGATCGCGGCATCAGCCGTAATCGCTTTATAACCGACAACACGTGAATTTCGAGCTGAAGCTCTAGCTCGCTACGAGCGCTGATAAGGTTTCCAGCGACCGACCACGAGCCACAGCTACAGCCAACGAACGGGCGGCTAGACAAATTGTTACATACTCATACGAATATATATTTCGACTATCAAATTTATAAAACTTGTGCAATTATCAGCTCACGATGCGATGTGCGTGAAAGTATTGCTGAGAGAGCGCAGCATAACATTTGATACCCTCTAAAGGGAAAGGAGGAGAGAAATATGAGTGAGTAAGCTCTGTGAAGATTTACATAAGCTAACTAAGAACTTTCTAGAGGAAATATAATAAAAATAATTATTATATATTTGCTTATTATATATGCTCAATAGTTCAGCTCAAAGAAGAGACTGATATGAAGTACTTTGACGTACGCGTGGTAAGCCTAATATAAGAAATGTTTAAACTGAGATAATTATAAAATAATTTGATGAAATTCGCGTAGCTGAGCTGCTGAGCAAAATAAAACAAACTAGGAAAAAAAAATAAAAACATTAATTTCCGACACAATCGAAACCTGTTAATAAACAAATTCTTTAATCTCTGAAGATTGTGGGAATTAAAAAAAAACAAGTAAGAGGACTCTAGTCGAGACTGCTCGACTAGGAGATACCCTAAACCCTCTAATCTGATATTCACTCTGCACTTCTTTTCGGCACACATACATACACACGCACGTATTAGAACGCGCTCTGCTAACTGCGCAGTAAGCAGCGACTGCGCTTGGGCTGCGCTGTAGTGTGGGCAACATTATAAGAATTTCTTTGTTGAATAATTTAATTTCTAGATGTACAATCCTAATGAAACTTTCAGAACATAATCATAATGTTCAAATGTATGTACATTCCAAAGCACAAGTCTCTAGTACTTGAAATACGTCTTTTAAAAAGGTGAGGGTGAGGGGGAGGATATAAGGGTGGGGGGAAAATTACAACAAAAATCGAAATTATATAAAATATATATAAGTCTACATTTAAAATTTGGAAGCTCTAGCTCTAAAGGTGTAGGAGATATAATTAAATAACTAGCATTCGATAAGGTTTTTGATCGATAATAAAATATCGGGAGTAGTTATCGATATTTAAAGAAAAACTTGATATGCGCGTGATATACACGGACCTAGGAAAAAAAATTTCAAGTCTCTAGCTCTTATATCTTCTGAAATCGACGCGTTCATACATACGGACGGACGGACGGACGGACGGACGGACGGACGGACGGACGGACAGACAGACGGACAGGGCCAAATCGACTTAGCTCGTCGCCCTGATCAAGAATATATATACTTTGTGGGGTCTGCCACGCCTCCTTCTGCCTGTTACATACTTTTAACAAAACCATTATACCCTGATTTCCCATTTTCAATGGGTTCAGGGTATAAAAATAATAATAATAATAACAATAATAATATATGAAATACGACATACAGAGGTAAATACTTATGTAGATTCGCTCTTTTGAGCTAAATTGCCCAACTAAACTTTCAATTCAACAAAAGTAAATCAAGGTATTTTAAAAGTAAAATTTATTTCCAGCAAAAATAAATAAATAAATAAATAAAAATAATCAGTTTGTAATCATGCAATATATACAGCGATTGTGTATCACTTCATGATTTACAGACAACTAACGATCGACTCAATTAATTAATTGCGAGCTATTAAAAGCGTATTCAAATGCTTTACGCTTTATTTATTGCTTACTTTATTGAGACATGTATGTATATATGTAAACAAATATATTTATATTAATACATATGTATAAATAATATAGCACCGTTTGTGTTTACAATTTGTGCTTGCAATTAATACAGCAATACAATACAAATACATATATTCATATTAAAAAAAAAAAAAAAAAAAAAAAAAAGTAAATAAAATAAAATAATAAAATAAAATAAAATGAAACAATAATAATATTTTTGTGCTCAAATTTCAATAGATATACGTATATATATTATCATTATATATGTATATATATATATATATATATATATATATATATATATATCACAATTTGTATATTTTCCTGCAATTTATATTTTATTTTATTTTATTTTTGATAAATTGTAACCAATTATTTTTCGTACAGATATTTCAAGCAAAAACAAAAAAAATATAATATTAAAAATATATATTTTCTAAAGCCCTTTACACTAGCTTACGAAATGAATGGGCTAACCATAGTTGGCCGTTAGTAAAGATAAAGAATTCCGATTTGAAACATAGTACTTGGTAGTCTCGTCTTACAACTTTGGATACGCCTACTTGGTGCGTGCTCAATCATAAAAATTATATCACACATAGCTTCTATTCATGATGTTAGAGATTTTAGAATCCAAGACCAAAGAAAAAACATGGTATTAGATATATATATATATATATATATATACCCATTGAGAGTATGGAATATCGGCTTTATCGGCTGAGTGCTATATCAAGATTATCACTATATAATTCTTATTTATTTTCAGCTTTGATCGAATCACCCTAAGGGTCTATCATTCATTTAAATTGTGACGTCCATTGAAATCAGCAATTTTTAAGCTCAAGGCAGATTTATTGGGATTATTTAAATTTGTGCGTGTCATGCTTTATATAATATAAAAGAAAGTCCAAAAATTTCAGTATATTGATTAAGTTGAATTATCAATGAAGCGTTTTTATCAACAACAATGACTGCTAGAGCTTAAGTTCTGCTCAAAACTAATTCGAGTCTCGAACCCGGATTTAATATAATATTTGATTTCATTTAGTATGAAAAGTAAATGTATATGGTAATGTATCTTTAAATGAGAGTATCTATCAATTTAAGGAAGGCGAAACATTTTGAGACTAAAGTTACAGTTAAAGTATTGATCGGCTTGAGCATTAAATATTATAATACATACTTTTGCAAAATATTATTATATTACAACGCAATTTAGCATCAAAATGAATAATAATAACAATAATTAGCACAAATATTTGTGATTAAAAATTGTAGTGAGAAAAAAAAAACCATACAAAATTTCCCACTGAATCCCATTGCTGATAGTGTGAGAACTTTGTCAACATGTTAGGTCTTGTTGTCTTCGAAAAACTAAGTCAATGTTAAGATCAATTGATGCTTTGGCTTAGTCACACAAACCACATAACCACAAAAGTCAGATGCGTAATTCTTAGTCGTATTACGTTTGCGTTTCATCAAACTGGGTTACGCGGCTTGACTCTGCTTTGGAGGTCGACACGAGCATGTGTTTGCCAACCGCAATCCATATCATGTTTCGTAGTTGAACTTGAGATAATATAAAGCCAACTTAGCGCTAATTAAGCACTTTGAAAAAAAAATGTTTTCTATCAGCTGAAATGTATTTTGGTGTATATTACGAATGGGAAAACGATTGAGTGTAGAAAATGTTTTAAGCTTTCGGGAACACGCGTGCCATAAAGTCGCTTCAATCGAAGGTAATTGACTGTGAAATACTCTGTGATTGTTGGCTATTTCATCCACATGCAATAGGAGCTATTTTTCTAATTTGCAGGGTATGCGTGGTCGAAGTATAGCTATACTTTGCTCTTATCTATTGCCAACTTATTATCAAATTTAAGTGCAATTGTACGACTGATATTATGATTGACCGAAAGCAGCCGTAATCGCATATCAAGTTCATTGTCATTTAAAAAACAATAACAACAATAGAAGTCATAGCGAAAATGTACGGTCAAGAAAAAAATATTTTAAAAACATTTATTCTTTATCAATTAATCATGAATGAACTGACAATTTTTATTATATTTCTTAGTATCTATATTTAAATTTGTTGATTAAAAAGCACAATATAATTATGAATGTTTTTTTTTTTTTTTTTTTTTTTTTTTTTTTTTTTTTGTGCACTTATATATAATATAATACATTTTGATTTTGTAATAATAATTAGTAAAATTTTATATATAATATTAGAATATTCAATTGAATTAACTTATATAAATTTATTTATGTATTTAGTTCCATCTATATTAATATAAAATTCTGTTATTCATTCAACTTATCAGTTTTATTAATATAAAATTCAATTAACATTTTGTGCCCATGTGGCAACGCCAAAATTAACTGTACTTCACTGAGCTTTTGCTGTGCTTTTGCCTGCCAGCCGCTGACATTGAGCAACAATTGTCTTGACCATGAGCGAGCGACAGCTGTTGATTATGCGAAAAGCTTTGCCTATGGAAAGCTTTTTGATAGACGCAACAAACGTTGCATATTTATTTGCTCAAATTAAGAAGCCGGGTGGCATAGAGTTTCTAGATTTCAAAATTTACAACATGGAAAATATGATACAAAAATCGAAAAAAATATATATGTTTATTTTAATAATAATTTAAGCTTATTATTGTCGTACTTTATCTATGGCAAAGCGTGTTGAAAGATAGCGCGCATTTAGCGAAGCACAACTTTCTGTTTAACTGGATGTATGTGTGTGTGTGTGTGTCTGTGTGATTGTGTGTCTGTGTGTTTGTTAGGGAATACGGCAAAGGCATCTGTGTGTACTTTTTGATGAACAACAACACAGTCGAGTTTCAGCGACGCGTTGGCCAAGTTGTTTTGCTGCTCTGAAGAGTCACAGCAGCCAAAGCAGCTAAACACAGATATAGCTATATATATACGCATATATACTTGTATTTACTTATATGTTCGCTGTTAAATTGTTGAAACCGTTTATCAGAGTGCGCTGGACTAATACAATTAATTATTAACGAACGCACACAAATAAGGAAATTGCTTTTTGAGCTCAACTCAAACGTTTCAAACGGCATGCCGCGTTCCTACGAGCGCCGTTAGAGCATATTGCGCATACGACACGTCGAGCGCAGGAATAAGCAAACATATTGTTGCGAAAAAATTTGCGTGCAGCTATTCAAAAGCCATAAATTATTTTCGTACACATTGCTTAGCATTGTATCCGACCGTCTCTAACTGTGTTCGAGTGAGTAAAAGCGTGCGTGTGTGTGTGTGCGTTTGACACATTGTAAATAAACGCAAATAACGGGTAAGTGCCACAAAACAAACTTTGGACAGGTTTTATGCAAGTATTTGTAGGCCCCAAATTGAGTTCTCAATTTAATGAAACTCACAAAAAAACTGAAAAGTTTTCAAAGTTTCAAATACGATTTTCTTTTCCATACGCATAAATCTGTTGAAGATCTGCTTTTGATGGAGTGTCTATATGCTTTAATGATTTCATATTTTTAATGTATTCATAATGTTTTTTATCTTTGATTGGCTGGGGCTATTGAGTGTTGGATAAGTTTATAGTTAAGCAGTTTGACTAAAAACCAAGTATACGAAAATGTATATCTAGACATTTCTTAATATAATATAAATTAGTTTTATATTGTAATCTATCGTATATCTCTATCGATTGGATCGCATCCAAAATACGAATTGCAAGGGAAATAATTTTTTTTTTAATTCAGTTTGCTTAGCTTTAATAAATTAAAATTTGTAAAAGCAAAAACTTGAAAAACAAATCCACCACGGCTCAAATTTTTAACAAAAATAAATGTAATAATTATATATATTTACTTTCTATGCTTTAATTTAAAAATACATTTAACATTTTTTATCGTAATTAAAATATTAATTATATAAAAAACATAAAAATTAATATTTATTTATATAAAGAAACATAATATTTACTTTTCAACTACTGTCAGTATCAACATTTAACTTGAACCATTTAGGTTTTTACATTTTTTAACAAAAAGTAGATGCTTATTTTTCTATAAAAAAAAATTATATATTTTTTTAATATATATAACAAATATTAAAGCAATAATTAAATAAATGGAGTTCTCATTGCAAAGCCAGTTAATATTTGACTGATTCGAGTAGATTTGTCAAAGGCTCATCCTTATCGGCAAAAATAAATTTAAAATAAATTTTCAGTTACTCTTGTAACATGATATATATAAATACATTTGTAGTGTATTCAAAAAACAAAAAAACAAAAAAACAAAACAAAAAACAAAAAAAAACAAACAAATGCATTGACTCATATCAATTAATTCGCCGACATATACAATAGATTTCGAGTAGAGTGTATAAAAATTTAATTCCAATTACTAGAAATAGCTATTGATTCTCTCGCTCTCTCTCTCTCTCACTGTGTCTCTTTGTGTCTCTAATCAATGTAAATTGCACCTTTGGCTACATTTGTGCTGCCAAAAACGAAAAAGCTAGGAATTAATTGAATATTTATCAGCTGATTACAGATTCTGGTGTTCATGTAACACGTATACGCCGCGTGGACGCCAGACCCAAAGCAAATGCATAAATCCCACGGCAAACACAACAAGCTAACAAGAACTTTTTACATTTACATTTAATTTGATCAAATGGGAGTGGTAGGCAAGGGCGTGGGCGTGGCAGATGGGATTTATGCTCATATTGTTTTATAATTCCACGCAATATTGAGGCTTCTGACATATTGAAGTGGAAACATGTCTTCAATCAAGCTTTAAGCCTCGTTGCATGTGTGCGTGTGTGTGTGCGTGTGTGTGTGTGTTTACTTTTTGCTGAGATTTCTGTGTAAACTGTAACCTGGCCTTAGGTTGTTTAAGCCAGCCGAGCGCTCAGTGGGCCAACTCTATTTACCTTGGCCGAGCCACTCAAACACGGATGCCATGTCCTTGAAACACTCGACCCCGACCTTCCGCCAGTTGCAAACGGAAACAAACAGAAGCTGAATGAGCCAGCCACTCTTAGTTGGCCAACAACATATTGCGTTGCACACGCCGAACTTAAAATTGAAATGAAGAAGAGGAAGAGGAAGAGGCATGATAGAAAGAAACTTGCATGCATAATAATCAAGTCGACGGGGAGACCATGAATATTTATCACATGTCCGGGATTAATGCATTTTTAATGCATAAGCGGCATGCCACAAGCCGCATTAGCCACCAAAGGACATTCATTCACCCGGGGCGTGGCGCCAATAAACAAGCCAAGCGGAGGCGGTACAGTTGGAGGGGGCTGGACAGTGGAGGGTGGGGGGCCGGCTAGCAGCCTGCGCCAAAGGCAAAAGGCACAAGCAAACTGCAAAGACAGCTTTTCAATATTTGTGAACATGCTGAGTTATTGACGGGGCGGGTCACAAGCTCCCTCACACACAAACATACATACACACACACACATACACGCTCAAAGGTTTTCTCTGTATTTGTATGTGTATTAATAGCCCACTTATTATTTGCCTTGTTGCTTTATGCACGGCGAGTGCCGCGTGTGCAAACAACAAGTGTCCTGGGCACATTGCGCTTTAATGATCATATTTCGTCTGCCCTCAAAGAGGGTATTTAACTACAGTCGACCGTTATGTTGGAGATGAAATATATGTGGGTATTATGTATGTGTATATTATGGATCATAGACTTGTTTGCGGTACAGAATTTCGTATTAAATATGCCAGATAGTTTATGTTTTCAAAATTGTAAAACTGCCTTAAGTACATACATATATGCACATACATATTTGATCCATATTTAACAAACTCCTGCTCAAGCTATGTAAATGTATTCAAAATTCGTTATACGCAGTGTATAGTCTGCATATTTATAGCATAAAATAATCTAAAACAGTCATCCAGAAGCTCTGTCCCCCCTTGTCATTATTTAGGTAATCAACATTAGATCATTAGATTAGAACAAGCTATGGGTCAATATTCCAAAATATAATTAGATATTTTTTATATTTAGACACTTTAAAATATTGACCTATAGCTCAATTAAGACTAACTTATTCATTTATTTATTCAATTTTTTATTTATTTATTCTTTTTTTATTTTTTGGGAAGTACCAGAGCATAGTTTTTAATTAAGACTAATGAAACAGTTTTGTTATGGTCTTATATCTTATTTTGCATTAACAGATATATTCTTATTTATTCACGTTTATCTTCTCTTTAAATATGCTCTTACCTTGTTTCTCCTCATCATTTTATTTTATTTTCTTTCCATTCGTCTTCTTTTGTGCTCATCTCTTCTCAACTCGTATCGATGCCTTACAGCTCCTTGTAGGTCATCTGTATGTCCTTTCTTATATATCGTGTCAGTCATTTTACCTTTAAGTTTTTCTCTCGTATTCCTCATATTTTTTCAGTTCTTTGAATCGAACATTCGATGCTCTCCTCTTTTCACGTCAGATTTCGTATCTCTCTTCCCTTCTAGAATTTTGAACTCTTCTCATGTCTCTGAATCGCTTTAGCTTTATTTCCTTTCTTCCACATCATCTCTACAAGTCCTATCTCAACTCTCTCCACCTTCTTTGCGTCTTCTTCGTTTCAGCTTATGTAGCTTATCTTAGATTAACCTGCTTGTATTCTATAGCCAATATATCATTTATTCATATAAGAGTATTCAATATATAGTAAGCCTGCTTTCGCTCTCACTATCTACCTCTCCCTCTCTCTCACTCACTCCCTTTCAGTCCTTCTGTCTGTGTTTTCTCGTCTCTGTTTATTGCCATGCTACGCATTTAACTTTGTCGGCCTTATTAATAAACCTCTGTTTATCTTGCTTTTGACAACTGTTTGTTGTTTTTGGCTTTGTTGTTTTATTTTCGTTTTGCTTGTTGCTGCATCGGGCTCCGTTGTTAAATGCCCTGTGGTATATTGGCATATGGTAGCTGGCTTTTAATAGGCACTCATATTTCCATTGCCATATTTTCCCGGAATCACTTCTGTCTAGCCATTTAGCCTTTGAGTCTCTTTGACCAAAGTCCAAAGTTGTTTCTGATAGCAGGAAATCAATATGTAAAAAAAGAAAAAAAAACTTTTATTTTTTTATAAATATTCTAGGAAATCAAATGATCTGAACAACTGCAGAATAAGCAAAAAGTTCACAGCTTAGGAAAAACTTTGAGCAAAACTTTTCTTCTATGGAGAAAATTCATTCAGACTCTCTCTCTCTCTCTCTCTCTCTCTCTCTCTCTCGCTCTCCCTGTGTGTGTGGGATGAACGAATCTACTTTGATTATTTGCGAAACTAATTTAGATTATGTTTGTGCTTCAACGCATCACGAATACCAATAAAAAGAGAGCGAGAGATAGATAGAGAAACTTCATTAATAATACATAATAAACGATACATGATATTAAGTGTGTCAACGTGTTGATTACTGTTTGCTAAATCATGTAGAATTTGTGGTAAATACTCTTAGGGGGCGATAGTTGAGTATGACAATATTATTATGAAATTAATTGAATAATTCAAGTAGAATAAGAGAGTACTACACATATTCTTGCAGTATTTATGAAATTTGTAGGACATGACCTCCTGGAGTCAATCTATATTTTGAAGATTTTTAATTTTATTAATAAATTTAAAAAAAAATATATATATATATATAGTTATTTTTATTAAGTTGAATATAAACTATGTTCCCATTAAAACTTTTGTATATTTATTTTCTTAACTTTATTTAATTATTATGAAATTCAAGATAAATTATTTTTAACTATATTTTATTTTAAAATATTTTCATTTTTATATTTTTATAAAACTTATTTTTAATATTTTATTTTATTTTTTAGTAAAAAATTTGTATTTCAAATATTTAGTATTTAAGTGAAGGATGAGCAGCGCATATAGAATATAATCGAAAATACATATACCCACACAAATTTATTTTGCCTTTCTGCTACATTTTTGTGCATTATATTAGATAATATCACAATGTATTCCAGAAATATGCAAGTCTTTAAGATCAGCTCAGCTGTCTATCAGCGTCTTAAACTTCTTATTTCATCTTCCCGCCACTAAGCTGCTTTGCCTTTTAGCATATCCGTTTCACATTTCATGTCTAATTCTATTATTAATTTGACAAAATAAGAAATTAGATTCAAATTAAAATGAAATTAATTGCAAATCGCATGAGCTGTCATTAATAATTAGCGAACATTTCCTCGGAATTTATCAATTATACAAACAAAAACAAGCCTGCTTTAGCTATTTATGACGCTCCAGGCGAAGAGTCCTTAGGATGGACTGGCTATAAATATTCGGAGGCTGTTAATTGCGGATTCTATGGATGGGCAGACAAAGAATGTTGTTGTCGATGTTATTTGCTGTTTGCAAGGACAACATAATGGCATAGGGACAAAGTCAATGCCAATGGCGGCAATAATCAACTGGCAGGAGCTGCAGCGGCAGCTAAATGAACAACAGGCAACATTGTCAGCAATACTTGAGGGAAATAGCAGAGAATGTGAGAGAGAGGAAGGGGGAGGCAGTGGTTTGGAGAGGGTCCGAGCTCGATAATGATGTTATTGATGCTTCGTGGTATGCTATAGAGCTATGAGTATATCATTATATGGGCATTACAAATTGCTGATGGCTGATTGGCACAAGACTGTGCTTGGCCTGGGTATGTGTGTGTGTGCGTGCTTGCGCTTTTAAGTAGCATTCATCACGTTTGCTTGCCAAGCTACTCGGGCGTATACTTAACGTGTGTGCCTAGCCTTAAGCTGTGCGCATGTGAAGGATTAAATTTTGTGGCGCTTTTCACAGTTTCGCACCTATGCGAGCATCGCAAATTGGCAGCCCCCATCTATGTGTGGGTGTGTGCGTTTGCCACTCTGAAGCGAAAATAAAAACCCGAGCTGCTGTTGAGGTTGTCGTTGAGTTGGCTGCTGTTACTGCTGCTCGTTTTTAGCCTGGAGCTCGGTCCACAGGACACGTTCAACGGTAATCAAATTATGACAATGCGTTCGAGCAAACAAACTGGAAACTTTGGCTGGCGAGTTCCCAGCGACGACGTCTATGCACCATAAACTTGCCATAATAATGCAAATTGAAATAAAACTGTGCAAACTTTTAACTATAGTTAACAAATTTTGATCAGATTTGATGGCACAGGTCGCTAAAATTTGGAAGCTCTGATAACGATAGCAAATAGAATGATAAAAGTTGCCAATACCTATATATATAGAAAATATATAAAATAAAGGAGAGAACCTGGAGACTTTACATACTATCGATTATATCCTTTAAAGACCTATATATTTTATTCACAATTTTTGTCAATTGCTCTAAGGTGAAACAGAAGAACGCTCAGCTGATATAAATACATAAAGAAAACATAGAAAGAGAATATATATTTAATCATTGATATATTATTTAAATATATATACATTATACATGTTTATCCATATTTTATAATAATAATAATTTTAGCTGTAAGCATTCAGGTATAAATTTAAATTTAATATCCATTTACATTTGACTGCCGTCATTTGGGAAGCATCAAGGCTGAAAAAGAATATTAAAATTTTGTTTGACATCTGAAACTGAGCTGCAAATAAGTTAAATTGATTTCGTTAGAAGTTCATGCCAAACTCTCGCTGGCTAGTTTAGTTTGGCAATCGCGTTAGCTACATTCGAGAACTCACAGACTAAATTTTTCTCATAATTTTGTAAAAGCATTTTTAAACTAACTTTTAATACTATAAAGAGAAAATTACTCAATAAATTTATTTTAAAATTTTATTATTATAAAAAATTACAAATATATCTTTTAAATTTAATATTATTAAATGAACATTAAAACTCAATTTAATATTTAATAATATATCTGAATCATTTATTATTATTATTATTATTGTTATTATTTTATTATGAATATTACTATTTTTTATTTATTTTTATTTTTTTTATGTTCTTGTCGAACTCAAATGTCCCTTCTCATAAGTACAGGGTATTGGCGCCAGTCTTGATAACAGTCTTCCAGCTGTTTCTCGCACATTTCAGCGTCCACATCAGGCAGCGATGGGCGTCAACGGTGAAGTGGGCGTGGTCATTGTGGTTGTGGGCGCTGCTTTTGTGTGACAAACACTTCATTAGACTAATGAACATAATTTACCGTAATTGTGTTAGCCGCTGGGAGCAACAGTTTTTTTTACTCCCGTTTCAGAATATATGATATATACACATATAATTATAATTTATCAGTTTTTTTTTAATTATATGATATATATATAACAAAAAAGTTGTGCGTTGTTGAAATTGTGAGAGTGCTTTATGAAATTATTAAAGGAACTGCGCGTGGCAGGGCTGATGTACCCAAGCCCCCTGCTTATCGATTAGATAAAGTTAATTTTAGTCATCCACTCCAATATATTCGAGAGCTACGCAGCTGGCGATTTATGGCTACCCTCGGCTTGGCCGGAAATAGTGCGCTGTTCTTATCAGAGACAAAAAAAAAGTATGCGATAAAAGTCCGAAAATTGTTTATAAAGCCAGCTGCTGCAGGCAGTCATCCAACTAGCCAGCCAGCCAGCCAGCCAGACAGACGCAGCGACAGCCCAGCCACAAGCCGCAAACCAAAAGCAAACAGCGCAAAAGCCGCTGGATATTGCAAATTTATGGCAACTGTCATAAATCGCATCGTCATATACATACACACATACACTCACATACATATACATACATACATTTAGTATAATCCCACATGTGACAAAGTCAGTGAAAAGGGCTCCCAAGCACATGACACAGGTTGCCACAGCAACTGCGCAACAATTTGCAGCAGCTGTGGCGGTGCCGTGGGGTTGACTTGACTTGACATCGATTTACAGCACCGTCTGTGAGCTGATCAATTTGACATGATTGGTTTAGACCAGATTTATTCACAATGTGTGTATGTGTGGGTGTGTGCGAGGGTTGCGCCAACTACTAGGCTAACAAATTATGGCCAAATGAGCTGGCGGTTAACTGGTTGATTGATTGATTGATTGCTTTTGGCATGATAAGTTTATTGATTATGGTTGGTGTGTAATTCATCTAGAGTGCTCATAATGCTGCCACCGGGATTAATTCACGTCAAGTTCACAGGCTGGACTTATCGATAAGCAGGTTATCGATAGCAAGAAGCAATTAAATTTTGATAATCAATATTCTGTTTTTAGACTTAATTATATAGATAAGGATAATGAACAATATAGATATTATCGACAAATTTTTAGATTTTATGGACAGGCTTTCGATACGTAGAAGACAAGATGAGATCTCTCATATTGTTATTGTTACAATATATATTATAATATTGATTAATATAGATTATAATATAGATTAATCGATAACAGATCCAGTGATACTATCGATTAATCCATATTATAATCTATATTAATCAACATTAAATCATAATCTCCATTATCAATATCGAAGGATAACTGGATAATTTCCTTCACATATAAAAAGCGATATTAAGTTTAGAATTGAAGATATAATAGCGCGAATATAGATGAATTTTCTAATGTAAAATGAGGAAAATATGGGTACGATATATGGAGATATGGCGAACCATATAATCAAGTCAAATCAAAAATACAATTTACAAACTTTTCATATGCTAATGCATTTACTTTTGCCTTACTGGCATCACATTGCATATATTTTCTGCTACTGTTATTTAATTTATTACTATTGGGGTCTCTGTTTGCTAAATTCTGAATGAAATATTCATCTTGGAGATATCATGAATCATTGAGTTCATCTCGTTCGTCCAACAAATGCTTATAAATCATGTAGGCCTTACAAAGAAATATACCAAGGGTTAACGTGGCTGGCTGGCCACACACCCACACACGCACACCTACACTCCCACTCATATACGTCTTTCAATTGCCGTCTCAAAGAAGCCCCACAAAAAGTTTTCATAAATAAATAATAAAGTTGAGAACAAATTGCATGAAACATATAAAGGAATACAACCAAAAAGAAGCGAAAGCAAAGGTGAAAGGTAGAAAATATTTTTTAAAATTGTGAAAGGTAACGGTACAAAGTGTTAATTAATTAACTGGCCGGGCTGAAATATGCGTATTTAAACAGTTGGCTTCGCTTGAATTCCAAGAGAACGAGAAACCTTAAAGTCGCCGACTGTTTGCACAGCTAATTGCAGCATCCACCTCGTCCGCACCTTGATTTCCTTTTGAGCACCTGGCTGCTGGCACCTATTGTGTTATACGTGTCCTTGCCAGTACAGCTGGCAGCACGTGTAGCTGCGGTCACAGTCAGGACTTTGGCTTTGGTCACAATGGCGCCTTAAGCAGTGTAATTAATAACAAAAGGGTGAGGAAGACAAGGGTGAGGCGGGAGGCTGAGACAGGGAAATGGGGGATTAATGAAATTCTGGCTTGGTGACCCTAATTTATTTATAAACTGCTTCATTCTGCGGCTTGACCAAATAATGCAGGCTTTACGACCATGTAGTTGTGGTGCCATTATCCGCCTTTAAGGGTTCAAAGGACAGCGGCTAATTGAGTCTTAACTTGTATGACACTGAGAGCAAGGAAATATCTATTGGGGTGAAGTCATTCGAGAGAGAAAGTAGAGAGAGAAAGACCGATAATGAGAGAGATATAGATATATAGATATTGAGATATATGCAACGATAATGAGAAAAAGATAAGGAGAGGGTTGGAGATGGAAAGTAAGGGAGACAGCGAGAGAGAAAAGGAGAAAAAGAGAGGGGGAACGACAGAGAGAGACAGAGACATCGACTGTCTCGCTCTAAAGATTGATTGGGAGGAAGAAGCAGAGCTATAGATTGTCTCGCTCTCTCTCTCTTTACAGATATATTGACAGAGCGAGAGAGAGACAGAAAGAGATATCGATTGTCTTTCTTTAGAAGTAGATTGAGAGATTGAGAGAGAGAGCGAGAGAGAGAGAAAGAGTGATAGAAAGGTGAAGAAAAGCAGACTGATAGGAAAAGAGATTGGGGAGAGATAAAAGGAAGAAAAGGAGAAGCACAGAAAGAGAAAGAGCGATACATCAACGGATATAAAAACGGAGAGAGAGGGTAACAGAGAAAGTGGGAGAGTGGAGAAGGAGACAGAGATATAGTGACGGAGAGAGAGAGATTGAGCAAGTGTATTTGACCTTCGATATAAACGATTCCCTAAGCATACACTATAAAAACGTAATTGATATTCTGCAAGTTTAGATTAACGATTTCCTTTTCATGGCTTTGTGTTACTCTCAGCGTAATGGATATTGTCATACGCGAGGAGGAGCTGTCGCTGACGCAGATTGGCATCTACGCCTCCGTTTCCTTTCTGGTGGTATCTGCTGTCGGCGCAGCCCTCTACACCACCTGCTCGCGACGCTATCGCCTGAACTGGTTCGAGCAAAATCTGCTCGAGTCGGCCAGCGAGAAGGATGAGGAGCAGCAGAGGTGAGTCCCGAGACTACTTACTCTTACATAAGTTCATTTCAAAGCTCATCATCTGATTTGCAGCCGAGAGGCGTTGGTGGCTGGCACCGTGGGCTACAACGTGGACAATTTGAACGAGTGTGTGGCACGAGGCAAATTGGCCTCAAGCAACGGGGGTAACATGAGTCCCACGTCGCTCAAGTCGGAAGATGCCGATCCGGCCTTTTGGGTGCCCGCCTCGGTGACTTCGTCAACGGCAGCCGTGCAGCAGCAGGTCTCCAATACCACCGAGGACTCGGCCCCGCCCACGCCCACCTCGCCCACTGGCAGCCTCAAATCGAACACCCTGTCCTACTGCTCGAGCACATCGGTGCCCATTGCTCGCTCCGACAAGCATGTCGTCCTGGCCATGCATCCCAGTCGCCCACGCGTCTCCTCCATGAACGCCAAACTGGATCATACCAAAATCGATATGACCCTGTACCGCAGCGTAAGCAAATGCAATCAGATTAAACAGGCTTTCCATTAGTAATTGTAATCTTCTTATCCACAGCAGCACGCCCAGCCAAAAACCGTTTGCCCCTCGGCCACCGGGAATGAGGTGCGAGGCAATTTACATGTCTGCCTCAGCTACGATCCGGTTGGGGGTTTGCTCAACGTGCGCCTGCTCGAGGCACAGAACTTACAGCCCCGACAATTCAGCGGAACGGCTGATCCCTATGCCAAGATACGTTTGCTTCCCGACAAGAAGAACTTCTGGCAAACGCGCATACATAAGAAGACATTGAATCCAGGTGGGAATATGATTCTCTATCCTATATCCTATATCCTATATCCTATATCCTATATCCTATATCCTATATCCTATATCCTATATCCTATATCCTATATCCTATATCCTATATCCTATATCCTATATCCTATATCCTATATCCTATATCCTATATCCTATATCCTATATCCTATATCCTATATCCTATATCCTATATCCTATATCCTATATCCTATATCCTATATCCTATATCCTATATCCTATATCCTATATCCTATATCCTATATCCTATATCCGATATCCCATATCCTATATCCTATATCCTATATCCTATATCCTATATCCTATATCCTATATCCTATATCCTATATCCTATATCCTATATCCTATATCCTATATCCTATATCCTATATCCTATATCCTATATCCTATATCCTATATCCTATATCCTATATCCTATATCCTATATCCTATATCCTATATCCTATATCCTATATCCTATATCCTATATCCTATATCCTATATCCTATATCCTATATCCTATATCCTATATCCTATATCCTATATCCTATATCCTATATCCTATATCCTATATCCTATATCCTATATCCTATATCCTATATCCTATATCCTATATCCTATATCCTATATCCGATATCCCATATCCTATATCCTATATCCTATATCCTATATCCTATATCCTATATCCTATATCATATATCCTATATCCTATATCCTATATCCTATATCCTATATCCTATATCCTATATCCTATATCCTATATCCTATATCCTATATCCTATATCCTATATCCTATATCCTATATCCGATATCCTATATTCTATATCCTATATCTTATATCCCATATATAATATATCTCTATGTCTATCTCAAACAGTTTTTGATGAGAACTTCGTCTTTGAAGTATCCGCCGGGGTCATTGACAAGCGCACAGTGGAGATCTTGTTATACGATTTCGATGCGTATTCCCGTCATGTTTGCATTGGTGGCACTAAATTGCATTTGGCCCAATTGGATCTGAGCGAACAACTGAAATTGTGGACGCCGCTAACCTCGGCCTCGGCACAAGATATGAAAATGGATCTGGGCGATATAATGGTGTCGCTCGCCTATTTACCATCCGCCGAGCGCTTGATGGTAGTGTTGATCAAGGCTAGAAACTTACGCATTGTGGACGATGCACGAAACTCTTCGGATCCGTATGTAAAGGTCTCTCTCCTGGGTCCCGGTGGCAAGAAGTTGAAAAAACGCAAGACAGGAGTGCAGCGCAATACCGTTAATCCGGTATATAATGAAGCTTTGGCCTTCGATGTGGGCAAGGAGACGCTCAAGAATTGTGTCCTCGAGTTCAATGTGGTGCACGACGGCTTGCTGGGTGAGTGGATGCCAAGTGGATGCTAATATAATAGTCAACTAAAGCAGCTTTTGCTCACAGGCTCGAGCGAAATATTGGGTCGTGCTTTGATTGGCAACTCCCCTGAGGTGCAGCACGAAGAGAAGATATTCTTCGAGGAAATGTTTCGGGCCAAGAACGCAACAGCTCAGTGGGTGCCGCTGCAGGAACCAACCGCAAACAACTTGGGTGCCACAGCCAAGGCAACAACCAAAAATTAGTGCCCACACAGCGCGAGCTTTCGCTGTTAACAGAAATCTGTTAAAGGAACAGAAGGAACTTCATCTGCAGGGAATTCAAAGTGGCTAAGAAATTCTAGGGGAATTTGCAGGGATACATTTAAGACAGACGCAGAGCGGGATTGCAAAAAAAAAAAAAATAAATAAATAAATAAATAAATTCACAAAATATATAAATATATAAAATGTATAAGAAACAACATATATATTTATTGATGTGTATATTATAATAAGATCTCTACATGACGAACTGTAATAACAAAAATGTAAGCTATATTATGGAGCTTGAGCTCTACTTTCTTATTTTTATTAATTCCCAAGCTTTTTTTCTTTTTTTTTTTAGCCACTTTAATTGCCTTTAATTTTTTAGTTTCCTTTCACAAATATATAGCTAATAGTGAATAGTGACAAAGAAAAAAAAAAAATAATAATAATTTAAAACTTAATTTTATTATTTTTGCCATATATTAATCTAGTACACTTTAAATGTAGTTTATATTTATAAACTTTTGTATAAAGAATTGTTGAAATTCATTATACAAAAAATGTAGTAACCATTATTTTTAAAATATTTGCTTCGTTAGGTGAAATAAAAAATTTGTTTAATTTAAATAAATTTTATTTAAAAAAAATTTTTTTTACTGTTTGCCTAAAAATATTAAACATTTTTTAAGTATATAAGATTTGTTTCATACATATAAAATAACGCTAAACTGATAAATAATATAAAAAAATATATACATTTATAACTATATATAGAGATTATACTATATGAATATTCATGAAAGAGATCCTTCTGTATTAACATAGTAGCAAATCGCAAACAACTGTATGTGCATTCCATGATATCAATTACTATTTTATTAAAAAACAATAAACGCATATATTCTATATATTCATACATAAATTGAAAAATACTTATATGTGCTACGTATATGTCAAGAAGTACCTAAGATGAAACTAAAGTTATATATACATATATCTATACTATATATAACATGAATATGATGAGGGCTATGAAGGATATAAATACTATTTAAGTATATTATCTCTACTTGAATTTACTATATATAATAAATATCAGATATACATAAATACTTAAACAGTTAATCGAAATCTATTGTAGAACAGCTTTTCAATATTCCTAAACCTTTTAAATGAAGAGGGTTTCAGTAAAAAAAGGGCACAAAGAAAACAAAAGAGATGAGAAAAATAATAATTTTAATTTTTGCTGAAATATCAAATGAAATATTCATGTAACTAGAAAATTAAATGTAGCGAATTTGTTATAGAGCATACCAATCTATATATACCAATCTATATATACAGTTAATTACGCACTATATAACCAAAAGAAGCAGGCAATCTTAAAATAGCAAACAATTATATAACAGTTCTCTACAATAATTAAATAAAGTTAATACATATACGTATACGCACACATTTATGTGTATATATATATGTGTATAATAGCATCCCTTTGTTTTCTGATTTAGCTTTAAAAGTTTGTGAGGGTCCAAAAGATTTTTATCATACACAATGGCCTTCTCATAACTTTAATATATTTTTTAATGTAATAGACTTTATTCCATTTTTTCTTATTTATTAATTTTATGTTTATAAAAATTTTTTAATTAAACTTTTATTACCAACCATTTGTTTATTTTATTTTATTTTATTTATTTAGTTATTCATTATTATTATTATTATTTTTTTTTTTAATATTAATTTTTTAATTTCTATCTTATTTCTATATTATCTAGATAATGTTTTTTTATTTTTTCAAAACAAATCGAAAAAAAATTTTCAAACATTTCTTCGCTCTAGATTTTATATAATTTATGTATAATATATATACTTTTTAGGGCATTTCATGTGAAATCTCTATAAATCTGTATAATGCAGTCACTGCATTCATGTCAGTTTTATATATAGTTCACAAATTCTGTGGCTCGTCTTTAATGTGGCATAGAGTCGCCTATTAAAAACTTGCCAACCGATGTGGCCGATGGACTAAAAGGGAATGCAGTCAAAGTCTGGTCGTTGCGTCCTTTTTTGGCTTGACTTATTTGGCAAATACTTTGCAACTTGTTGACCAAAACTTGGCGTAAAAAGTTTCCAATTTTCTGTGTGTCTAAGTGTGTGTGTGAAAGCATTTAACTAATTTTGTAACATTGACTGATGCATCCATCCAAGGAACGCTTCTAGATTGGCCGTTAAATCAGCCAAGCCAAACCGAATTGTTGACCGTGGCCAACTCGAGGATAGAAAGAAGTTCAAGTCCTTTGGTGTCTCTCTCAGTTAAACGTAAATTTCCTTTCAATCAAAATGTGCTTTCATTCAATTTGGCTGCTGTCTGCTAAAATAGAGTGAAAGCCGGCCAAGAGCAGGGAGTAAAAATAAGGAAATAAAAGGAAAAAAGGCCAAAGGCAGCATCAACTTTGAACTATTGCCAATCCTTGATGGCGCCAAAATGTAGACAACGGGCGTAGCGTCTTATCGGCAAAAAGAGACTCTCTGATAGATTGTCAGCTAAGCACTTATACAGATATATATATATAAGGTGTATGTGTATGTGTGTGTGACTGTTTACATTGTGTATCTGCATTGGGCCCTGGTTGGCTATGAAATGTCAACATCGAAGATAGCTCGAACGACACCGCAATTTAGGGAAATTGTTTGACCAAATATTTGCGTGCCTCTTGCCAAAAAGCCAGCTAGTTGGCTTAAAGTAATGTTTGGGGCTTGTTGGTAATATGAATGAAATATAATGGTGAAGAATTCCGGTTTGTAATGGACATACACATATCCAAACTAATTTTGTTAACTACTTAATAATGTGAGTTGACTAAAACAGTAAGCCTATTGTAATGTTTAATGTGCCATAACCGTTTCACAATTGTTTTGTAACAACTAAAATATATATTTTTACAAATTATACGACTTTATTGGCTTAAACCCGCTTCAAAATGATTTTCATTTATAAAATTTTTGTATATCGATTTTTATGCATAACTTTTTCACATCCGGTTAGTAGACACTGATAACCTGCCCAAACCCATTTGAATTTTATTTAAGCTGGTATATAGCCGTCGCAAAGTCAATTTATGCAGAGGCTGTGATGCAATAGGCTCAGCTACATTATTACCGATTCGATGCCGATTCAATGCTGAATAACCGGTTGGCAATTCCTGCACACTGCATCAGAATAAATCTTGGGATTTCTCTTAATTTATGTTATTAGGTAAATATTTTATTATTGCATATTAACCGATTAGTAACCGTTTCAGTAACCGCTTAAGATTACAAAACTCTTTTTCATATAAAGAAATATTGCAAATGGAAAAACTGAGCATTTATCATTTAAATATTTCTTGCGGGATATATAAAATATCCCTAATTTTAATAATTTATTAAACTATCAATTTAAACTATCAATTTCATAACCGTTTGACTTCCGACTGAGTTTTAAGCGAGTTGAGCCACATTGTTGTCAGAAAATCCAATTATTTATATCAGCGCGCAATGGAAATAAATACGTGACAGACCCAAAGTGAAGTTGTTGGCTCGTTGCAGTATGCTGGCTTATTGGATTTAGCCTTTAATCCCGAGACTGCGATTCTTATACGTATTTATTGGCCATTCAATATTTCAGCTATTGCTGATTCTCCTTTTCCTCCATTTCGACTATCAATTTTTCGCCACCAACAAAAAATACTTCGCTTCAAAGTCAGTGGCAATAAACTGCAAGCGACTAACGAGCAAATTCCATTTTTAATTTCGTCATGCCACTGTCTTTGTTTTTTCTTTTTTTCGCTTTTTTCATTGGCATTTTATCCAATTCTTCTATTGCGCTTTTCAAAGCTTGTCAGCGGAAAACGTAAACTAACGACATTTTCGTTTTCTTATTTACACAATCAATTTCGAGCTTTTTTGATGCGGCAAAAGGCGAACGGCAAATACGAAGAGCAACAACAGCAACATGAACAGCTACAACTACAACAACAACTACTTCTACTCCCCCTTTCGCTTCATAGTCTGTTGCATTTTTGTTGCGACTCGTATGCTACTCCCGTTGTTTCGTTAAGTTCGCTTTCGCATTTGGTGTTGGCATTTTGTGCCGCGAGGGAAATTGTCGTCAAAGTGAACAAAAAACACTAGAGAAAAAAAAACAAAACAAAACAAAATAAAAAAAATCTACTTGTTTGTTGTTTTAACAGTGTAGTAACAGCAGCAGCAGTAGCAGCCGCCCCCGCCACGCCCCGCTCTTCACGTGCACACATGTCGCTTATGGCTCTACATTGCAATCTGTGTGTACGTGTGTGCGTGTGTGTGTGTGAGTGAGTGCAGCTAGTAATAGTTCTAGTTTCAGTTTCTTGTTACATTTGCCTTCTTTTTTGTCCCCCAAATTCGCTCTGAGTCGCACGCTATTTCGTTCTCCCTTTCGCTTTCCCTCTCCCTATCCCTATCCCGCTCTAGCACTCTAGACTTTACGCTGCCAGCTTAGCTTCGCTGCTGCGTTCCTTTTGATGTTGACCGCAATCGCTGGCTGCGCTTGCTGTCTCGCTCACGCTCACTTACTTTCCTTGTTGCTGTTGTTTTTTTTTTTTTTTAGGTAGCCTTTATTGTTTATGCAACTGTCAGCAGTTTTCGTTGCCCATTTCTGAGAAAGTTTTCGCTCACAATTGGAGATTTAGTTGACTGCCTGTTTGTAGACGTGTGTGTGTGTGTTTGTTGTGCTTGCTTTGGCTTAGCTGCTTGTGTGTGTGGGTGTGTGTGTCAGCGCTCTTTTCTGTGTGTGTTGCTTCATATTTGTTGTCATTTCCAATTGTTTCTGCGACTTTTGACAGCTAGCAGATTAGCTTGGTGACGCCTCTGCAGCAGCAGCATCGCCAGCAGATACCCGTTACGCTCGTTTGTTTATTGGCAGCTCCATCACGGCATGCGACTAAAGAGATTGCCCAGGGAAATCAACGATAAGGAGCGGGAGAGTGAGAGAGAGGGAAGCAGGGCGATGATGGTGTGTGTCCACTCTCGCCAAGTGCATAAAATACCAAATAGTGATTGCATCTCGTTATGGCTTATCGAAACGAGTTTGTCAATTCGACTGCATATCGATAGCACATAATTAAATGGCTATCGATTATTTTTGAGGCAGAAC